CAGTATGAGGGGAAAATGTTTAACTGCTCGCAAAATTTTACCTTTGCGCGATTTGCTCACAAAACTTAACCCTATTCAGACTGGGGGGGGGGCTTTTCGAACCCCCCCTCCGGCAAAATCGTGATAACTCCTACACCGAAAGAGCTATGACGTTCAAATTTTCTGACTTTTCCTAAAATTTATCTAGAAACATTTTGGTATAATTACCATGTCCATGTGATTAATCATGTTGCCATGGCAACCAGTTTCTGACACATAGGTTTTGGAAAATTTAAAAAATGGTGATTTTTTTGTTTTAAGATCGCGTTTTTACACTTATAGTGCTGTTTGTTGTCAAAATAGTCTTTGCTTGGGACTAGTTTTTGAATTACATCAAAATGTTTCAACATCGAATATTTGGGGGGGAGGGGTGGGGTAAAATTTGTCACTTTTTTGCTTTGACAAATATGCTGCTCTATTTTCCAAAAAACACCTCCAAAGTCATTTTTTTGGGTAATAAACATTAGTTTGATACTTCTTTTATACATTCTGAGCTTTTTCCCCTTTGAAAGTTGCTTTAAATTATAATTTTAACAAAAAAACGGAAATCCAAGATGGCGGATCCAAGATGGCGGACAACCATTTCAAATTTTAAATTTTATTGCTTCGTATTGCTTTTTCTCGCTGTACAAGTGTTTCCTTGTTACTAGTTCATAAGAAAGGATAACAAAGAGATGACTTTACCAATATTATTGATATTTTACGTATCTAAGTGGAAAAATAATAAGAAACATTGAAAAATCGGAATATGACGTCACTGTGACGTCATCATTGGGCGTGGCAAGTCAAAACTGAGTGTGGGGCTTCTTTGTACGGAGATGATCATTGTGTGTAAATTTCATGACCCTAGCATTATTGGTTCCAGAGATACAGAGGGGGGGTCCGAGGAGCCCCCCCCCAGTCACAGATTGACCAAAAAAGCCCAGTCTGAATAGGGTTAAACGAGTGCTCGCTTGCTCGTGCTCCCAAAATTTTTGCAGTTGCTCGCAAGCTCGCCTTCTTGTCAGTATTGCTCGAAGTTTTGTAAATCCTTCTTTGGGTTTAAGTATAAATCTAATTCTGTATGGTGCTTAATTCCTATAAATATATGGCTATCAGAGTACAGTGGAAATGCACGCGATAAATGACAACGATAAATAATAAATTAGCTAATCTAGCAATGTATGGTTAAAAAGAGAAGATATTGTTACCTTGAGTTCTTCTGAGATTCTATACCGCTCTACTCACTGGGCTTTAATTGGGCCGGGTTCTCAATAAAATCGGTTGGGAAGCTTTGGGATTCTTCCAGAAGAGGTTGCTCTGACACGAGGATTTTGTTCCTCTTCAAGTTCTTCTTCATGCACATCAATCATGTCCCGTTTTAAACCATTATCTGATTTATTTTAAAGAAATGGATTTCCATATAGAATTGCTGCAAGCGGAAAATATAAGAAGTGCTCGCTGCTGGCGAGTTGTACTCTCTAAACTACTCGCTGCTCGCAAAGCAAATTTTTTATCTCTGCTCGTGCTCGCAAAAAAATCGCAGAGCTCGCATGCTCGCGAATGCCCGCAAAGACCATTCGTCACCCTTAGTATGGAAAAAGAAAAACAGTTGCGTGAAAGAACAGCCAAACTTGGTGTAACCCTAAAAATGAAAGACGATCCAGTCAACAAGTTTTTCTACTATAGGGGAACTGTAGATGGCAAAGAGTACAAAAGTATTGCAGCTTATAAAAAAATCCAAAAGATGAAGCAATGACAAAACTTACCAAAAAGCAACATCAATTGATCGAAGAATTGAAAATCGAGTTTAACTAAAGTAATGTAAAAAGAGTCAAAGTGGCCAGGGGTAGGGGCAAAAAAATACAAACATATATAGAGTGGTGAGATGGGCCACTCTATGGATGAAGCAAATGTCCTCATGGATGCTGGGGTCTTTTTTGGGAGAAACGAGTGAAGCCAGAGAAAGAGCGTAGCGATATAAGGGTGTACGAGAAACCGACGCGACAGCCACCTTAGTTACCTGGCATAAGTCTTTTAACTTTGAGGCGCTTTGTTGCTGAGGTGAGGTGGTTGTTCCCAGAGAGCCGCCAAAAAAAGAGAGAATCAGGAAAACAACAAAATACTGAACCATGGCGGTGAGAGTTGAACGAGAACACAGCGTTTTCTGAAATCAGTGCTACGTGCTCGCCAGTTGATATAGCAAATATTTTAAGTAAATCCTCTGACCCGGTATATTGTTTGTTTGCTTTTTGCTTGTTTCTTTTTCCTTTTATGGCAATTTTTTGCCTCTTCTTATTCTCTGTTTATAAGCCCCCTCAGGGTACTGAAACAGGGTCAAAAGATGAACATTCCAAAACAAATGACAGCATAGTTTGTTTCAAAAGCAACAAAGTTTTATGCATGCTTTCATGACTTTGTGTTTCTAACGGTACCGGATCCCTTTCCTTTTTTAGTGCGCCAGAAAGCCAAAAATATAACTTCGCTTTCAGTCCAAGCTGGCTATGTTATGTCAGAAAAAGTAGGGGCTCGCTTAAGCTCCAGCTAAGGAAGCTTTAACGTGTCTAGTGTTGGTGTGTTTATTTTTAAACTCCCATATCTTTTACCTTGATGGCGGGGGGGAGAGCGGGGTGGGTGGGGGGAGGGGGGGCTCCCTATAACAACCGATACGGGCGGGGAAGCGCTGCTTTTCTTTCAATTCAAGATAGACGATTGCGCATTATTTTGAACTTTTGACGTGGACAAGCTAAAGAAACCAATGGAGAGAACGCCTTTAAATTAGAAAAATTGCAAAGTCTAAAAGTCAGATTTGTTCCTTCCAAGTTGGAAATGTTCACTGGAAGTGTATGTGTGCTGCTCACTAGTGCATCATTAAAATCAATAAAAATAAAAATAAAATTAATTTACGCAACCACGAGTTCGAGTTCGAGCTTCATATCTCGGTAGATTTACTTTGTGGAATAACGGCCGCTGAGCTACACAACTAGGTAGATTTTTGTACTCTCGGTCAAATCAAAGCTTCAACATCCCCGGGGCATACCCTGGGCATTTGACACCTTTGCCGTCCCGGGGAGGAGGGAATTTGATTATCAGAGTCTTCCAGGGGGTAGGGAATTTGATCCCCATGCGTTAGGGGTGGGGAATTTGAACTGCACCCTTGATTTCATGAGAAATCTCTGGCGTGGCGAGCCATCATGGGGGACGCGGTGTTAGAGGACTCTCGTGGAAAAGATTGTGCCTTTGTGGCCAATTGGTTACGAGGAAAGGGCTTAAACAAGCTTTGTGCCGTATTTGCAGGTATTTTAATTTTAATATTTTCAATATTGGATTCAGGCTTTGAATGTATAAATGTATTAAGTTGTGTTTACAATGAAATAGAATACCTATTAATTACACAGGACACGCAATAATGAAAGAACACCCAGCACAAGTAAGGGGTTGCGTTCTCGTTCCTCGAACGCAACTAGATACCGTAAAATTTCGAAAATAATCCCCGGGGCTTATATTTTTCAAAGGCCCTTTTTGAGGGGCTTATCTACGGAGGGAAATTTACTTTTCCAAATCGATTGGGCTAGCCTTATAGTTGAAATTAGACTTACCATGTTTTCTTTGTTTTACTTTGTATTTGAGGGAAATTTTCCAAGTACAAGCCCCGGGGGCTTATATCTGAAGGGGCAATTTAACGGAGGGTTTTTTACGTTACCGGTTTGGGGGGCTTATATTTGGAGGGGCTTATACATGGAGGGGCTTATTTTCGGAATTCTACGGTATGTGTCAGAGGTACAGAAAAAAATATCTCCTTTCTCTACTGCTGTGACTTTAGTGAGATGATTGTTTGCAAAAAAAAAAAATTAATAAAATAACGAACAAAAGCCTAGCACAATTTTTTACGGTCGTGAACCCACAGATTCAAGTTATTTCCAGTCCTGTTAAACCTAGCTCATTCTTATTATGTACCTTCTTAAGTGGTTTTAGGAAGGTGTATAAACGGAGGGGCTTTAATCCGAGGAGGCTTATTGATGGCAAAGAAAAAGAGCTTTGAAATAAGCTGTAGCATTGCTGATCAAAATATATTTTTGCATTTACCGCTCGTTAATTAAGGCTTCAAAACGTCATTATAAATCGAATTTAATTTAGTTCAAGCGAGAGGGCAGCGTGTTATTTTCGGTGGGGCTTATATTCGGACATTTTTTTTTTTTTGATTTGTTTTGTTTTTTGTTTTGTTTTGTTTTTGGTTTTTGGTTTACAGCTGAAACAAGGCTAACCGAGTAACATGATCATTTACATATGAAAAACAAGAAGGTTTGTAACAAAACAAGGTCACCGCCAACCTCGCGTCTATTCAAAGGCCAGGGCACTGAGCACACAAATGTAACTTGATACTCTATTCTTCACCAAACTACTACTGGAAAGAATGTGTATATGACATTGTCCTTTACTCAAACTTTGTCTTTTAAAGTAATTAGACTCTACTTATACATTACAACAAATGACTGCACTGAAAGGAAAGAAAAGTAACCAAGATGTTTAGGAATGGGAAGGTTTGATAAACGTTTCTCAGGTACCGGGTAGAAGAAATCAAGCGTTCGATTTTTTTCCCTCATTGTTTCTTGAGAAATACATCAAGTTATCCTACAATTATATTCTTCTTCTTAGCTGACTGTTTTAAATTTTACAAGATTCGACATTAATAGGCAAATCCTGACCGTTTTTAATCATGGTTTTGCCTTCAAGTATTTGGTTAGAGAAATTCTGGCGATGAAAGTCGCGCCCTTCCACGAAGAATTTATAAAATCATTTCGATAAAGAGAATACCTCTACAGCAGTTTTTGTTTTCAGTTGATGAAAATTTATATGACGACCTTTACTTTTTGACTACAAATTCCGTGATCTTAAAGGAGCTATATCTAAACATTTATCAACATGCTCTTTTCAGCAAAGTGAAACAACGCCAAGAAATATTGCAATTGAAGACTCTCTTATTAGGACTGGGACCTAGATACTTCTTCAATCATTATCCGGGACACTGATTGCCACCCAGTATAAGCATCACCCAGCGTGTGGCCACTACTGCACTGCCATACCCATAATTTCACTCTAACCGTCCCTTGTGGGATGTTCTCACAGTACCCCTCAAATGACCGATGGTACAATACTCCCAGATGGCCATTCCTGTACAAGGCAGCCTCAATTGTCATTGGTCCTCTGCATTCTTTGCCGTTGAACTTGAAATACCACCGATTACATTTGCCATGATTTTGGATTCTTGTGTTTCCTTGGAATGAGACTTTGAGCGCTGAAGAAGACTGCAGTTTGTTGAATGCACAATCCTGGAATAAAATCGAACATACTGCCGATTAAGGCAACGAGCAGCTGTGTAATGACCGATAAGTCATCTAGCAGGTAGATTTCTTCCAAAGTTAAACTCAGGTTCTTCATGGGAAATCACAAACGGCAAACTGCAATTCACAGTTACGCGTTGCAGTTTCACAATGCCTGGATTTCAAACATTAGCAAAGTATTCATTGTTTAGTGTTGCCATGTTGTTTTCGTCAAGTCGAAGTGCATCACTTTTATTGCACAAAAACTACAATAATTCTTTATTTAAATTCAAAACTCCAACTAACACATCGTAGACGGATAAAGAAAGCTACTTGTGCCTTTAAAAGTGAGGCTGTATAATTTTTAGTCGCAAAAAACCTTGCCGTAAGTCACTTACCGCTGGAAGCCCTTCCTGCCGTTCAAACGTGAACTGCAAACTGCAAAAAGGACCGCAAAAGCCGTGGTCTCGTGGTCAGGTTTGAGGTTTGCGGTTTTCCATGAAAAACCTGTTGCTAAAGGTCTTATTTGCAAAAAGATCCTCAAGTATTCTAACGCCGCCCCTTTTTGGGACCAAAATGAGCACTGACTAGCAAAAACTTAACGACTACGTTCATTCCTCATTATGAGACGACAAAATGTTCTCCTCCCCAGAGATCGCAGCTCGTCCGTTGAAATCAAAATAAACAACGCACAAATGCCTCACGGGAAGGGAAAAAGGCTCTTCTAGAAGAACAATGCCGCCGGGAGAAATGAATGCCTCTATCACTTCCACCAGGCCCACAATGGCACAGCCTAAAAAAGACTGTAAAAGCCGTCTACAGTGGCCAGTGGAACCTCTCCTTTCGGACACCTCTAATCAAGGTCAAGGGACACCTCCGTTCAGGTGACACAAAATTTTGTCGCGGAAAAATGTTCACATAATTTATGTATCTAATGCCTCTATTGAAGGGAGACCTCTATTCACTGGAAAGGGACCATTTTTCTGTGTCCTATAATTTTAACCCTCGCCTAGCAACTCGAGCTGAAATGAGTCTTAGTCAGGCCCAAAACATGATGCCCGCGACCACAATAAACACTTAATTACTGGTCCCGAGGGAAACAATTAATTTTGTTTCCCGAGGCGGAGCCGGATTAGGATTATTGTTTCTTTTTGTGCTTACGCCTTCGCTTATCGCGGCTTGCGGCCTCGAGCTCGCTGCTCGCATGCATGGTTTACGTGCGGAGTATAAGCTTTGCAACGGAAAATGGGAGACTACCTGCAGCCTACCGCCTAAAAGATTTTTTTGGGGGGGGGGGGGGTATGCACTTAAATTATCAAAACCGCTGAAATGAATGTTAACAAAGTACTTTCTTCCATTAGCCAATGTATCTCTAAATCTTTGTCTTTTTTAGCATGAGGCTCCATGTTTATGTTCTTTTTTCAGAGTTCTAGGTACAAAACGGAAAACTAGAGTGTTTTTCCCGCCTTCTGTCATGCCACTTAACATCATGCTTTGATCACGTGCTGTTAATTTCAAGTGTTTGTAATTTTTTTTATTTTTGGCATTTACTTAATATCTACAGATCAATACCCGTTTTATATTATAGAAGATCTCCAGAAAGATTTTTATGTCCAAAGCAATGTACATGTAGATTGTAAATATAATATGAATTTCGTTTTTACTCAGTACCTTATAAGTACTACAGTGTGTGTTGAAACTTGATACAGTATAGGGGACAACCAGACTTTCCCTCTGTATACTACAAATTAAACTTCAGGCTCAAGGCATCGGTTCATCTCATGCAGTTTCAATTAAGTTTTGTTTTACTCAAAATACAGTGTAAATATAATCATTTATTTTACTCAGTCGGTTGAGTATATTCTTGTTACTCAGGATAAGAATGAAATTAAAGTTAACTCGAAATTTCGAGTATTTTTTACCTGTATTATGAGTAAAAGACCAGTTTACTCAAAATAAAGAGTCAATTTGGATGCATTTGTCTTGAGTTATTTTACCTCTACTTTTGAGTTAGTTTTACTCAGCAATTGAGTATTTTGACTCAGGCTTGTGAGTAAATTTACTCATTCTGAGTAAACTTACTCGTATTAACGAGTAATAATTACTCAATATCTCTGCTTGAGTTTACTCACTATAATGGGTCAATCTGGATGCAATGATATTCTCAGTATTTTGAGTTCAGTTTACTCGGCTTTTTTTGCTGTGTGATCAACACAACAAGTCACAATCTCATCATGGCTTACTAAAACTTCACCTTGTCAGGGGTAGAAATTGAAATGTAGGAGCTCTGAAAAACTTACCATACAGTGAGAAACTCGCACCAAAGCGTTACAGATAATGAAGCACATGGTTTCTTTCACGACGTTTTCACAGCGAAGGATTCAAAGATTCGAAACAAAATTGTTACTGCTGCTTCGTCAGTTTCCGTACATTTAAAAGACTCTTGGTAAATGGATTGGATACATCAGTTATAGTGCCACTAAATAAATGTAAAAACGAAACGCGAACTGTAGCAGCTCACGCGCTTCAACTGGGGTAACTAAAACGGCCAGAAGCAAAGACTAATTTGAAAGCTTTTCAAAAGTAATCTAGTGTTTTAGAAAGAGAAAATGAAGTGCTATGATATGTCAAAAGAACATTGCTAGGTGTTATTGTGCTTACCAGCACGAGCGAAGAGAAAATGCATTTATTTTTGTCAATTTTCAATGGCGGTGGGAGGCCAAGGAACCTTTATCGATCGAGCGCTTTGGGATCTTTTACTTCTATTTTCGAAAATAACTCACTAAAGGCTTTATTTGGGCAAAATATGAAGAAATTGAAAATCAGTGAAACTGTCGCCGGACTTTCAATATTTACAGAAATTGGCCCTTTAAAAGAAAACTAATGGACAAGATTTATACATACCATAAGATACTGTCTTTTATTGAAACAATGATTGAAAGTTTTAATTAATTATGAATGTAGTGACACATTGAAGCAAACTAAACTGACATACAAAAAATAAAACAAAGATGCTATTAAGGTAATTCGAAGGTTTGACAAGAATCTCAATGTTGCCAATAAAAACATTCCATTTTTCCACTGTTTGAGAGATAATCTAGCCTGCGTGCCAGGCGTTCCAGAGGGAAGGAAAAGGAGATTTTGGGTGCGTGAGAAGCGTGAAGGGCGCGCGAGGAATGAGGAAGGAGAACACGTTCCTCCCTCGCGCTCGGTCTTGCTCTTAAATTCTCTTCCCTTCCCTTTCGAATGCTTGCCACGTATGCTATAGATAATCAAGTTATTCTATCATCATATTCATCTTCCTAGCTAATTGATATAAATTTTCCAAGGTGCGATTTTAATCCTCGAAATCTAATCCGCTTTTAATAATGGTCTTGCCTCGAAGCGATTTGGCTACAAAGGGAATCGTGCCGTTTGATTTAATTAAGCACGATTTAATTAAATCGTTTTCACTTCCGGATTGGATTAAAGATTTTCCAGACGGAAATATTTTAAATGCGAAGGCTACCTCTTCCGCAGATTTTTTTTTTTTTTTTCTCGTAGAGATGAAAGATAATATCACGACCTTTACTTTGACTGCTCATCTATAGACTTAAAACATTGAACTACAATCTGGTATATATGCTACGCCAATAGAGAATGGGTTCCCCTACAGCAGTAGTGATCAGGGATGATATATTTTGTAAGCATGGCCAATCAAGCGCTCGCCGTCACAGCAATTTTTGTCGCGTCACGCAACGAGAAGGAGCGGTGCGTGACAAGACAAAAAGGTTGGATGGCTGCATGGAAGACCAATTCCCTTCGAGCTCAGCCGATTATTATGTCGTCACGAAAAGCGCCTCTCCACAAAGCAGCTAGAGAAGCGTTGCGTGACAAAATAAAGAACTGCTGCACAGGACTAACATGCCGACATAATAATACACAATTTTGATACTGTTATTATAGTTTACTATTGACAATCTGATACAACGAAAGTAGCCACAAAGGGCTAAAAAGAAAATATCCAAAGACAATTGATGGTTTTCAGTGTCACGCCATTCAAAATAGATCAAAATAAAAATCAAAACCCGTTCAATAGATGAAGTCCAGAATCTGGGAAATGAAAGGAGGTACATATACAAAGACCATCGCCAAGATTCAGGTCAGAGGAATATTTCGTATACGAGATATCCGAAGAAATGTTTTACCCAAACTTATAGAGGTTTGTATGGAGACGCCATGCTGGTGCTCACCTGGATGAGCTCCAACACTGCGGACGGTAGACTACGAGTAGTCCCCCATTTTTCGTCAGGGATAGTAGAGCGAGCGAAACGCGAGCGCGCGTGAAAATTACCCCACACGAGAAAAGGCGACACGCGGCGGGGAGAGAGAAAAATGAGGGACTACAGACAAAGCCAAAGGGGGGAATTTCATATATCCCATGATGCATCGCTTCATACTATATTATCAAGCTGCCGAACGCACGTGATGCTATCAGTTCAACAGGGACGTGACAATTGAACAGCAGTGCAAAGCGACTTGTTTTGCCGATAAGACTTTCTGTACCTTTGCTGTGTCGATCTATTTACGATTTTCGTTTTACTATTCCAAATATATCTCTTGTTAAGGCAAATAGAGTGTTTCGGCCGCCGATTATGAGTTAACTAGCCTTACGATAGCAACGGAGTCCACACAAATGTTCTTAGAAGCTAGCGAGGAAGGTCTCTCCTTCGGTACGTCCTGTTTTAACGCGCTTCGATAAAGCTCTCCATGGATTTACAAGCGATTTCCACGTACTTGTCTTGAAGTAAATACATATTCTAGGTGTGAGAGTTCTCTTCGTTGCTTGTTGGTGATCGCGGTGTTCATATTGTCACTTCAATAATTCCTCGATGCAGTACATCAGAGTACATCAACCGTACGGTGACCGCACATGCTTTTACTTCAACAAGCTCGGCTTATGTAGTCGAAAATACCGAGACCGTTAAAGTGCAAAGTGACGTTTATCGGAGATAAAATTCAAAGGAGGGAAATAGCTCCAACAAACAATAAAAATAACAAAGACATATCTATATTTTTCGTAACACAACACCAGCTAAGCATCATTGCCAAACATAAACAGAAAAAAGCTTTATTAAGAAATGGCAAACTACATATACAAAAACACCCACTTCTTCGCTACAATGGATCCTAAAAGAATTATCAAAATGTCTTAAAAGGTTTTACACGCCGGTTGAGGTCCTACGGCATGCTATTCCATGACATTTGCTGGCCTGTATATTTCAAGTTCGCCACGCGCGGTTGCGACCGGAAGCCACCAAGAGAAACCAATTTTACCTAAAATAATGAGACAAAAAATCATTAATAACTATAAACCATTGAATTTAAACATTCATCATACCCTCAAGAGATAATATTTGTGCTTTGATCGGCGAAAAAAGAGCGAATTCAAGAAAAAATGTCCAATCTTCGCAGGACTTAGCATAAAGAAATTGAAACCTTCGTCTTGCATCTTAGCGGAGAAAGGGCAGAAAACGCGATATTTCAAAACAATCAAACCCATAAAAATCGCGAGGTCGAAAGAGGTCGGAGCGTGGAACTAGTATCAGGCACCCCTTGTCCGCCGATTTAAATAATTTATTAGGGCTAAACCTTGCTATTATAAAGACAGTTTTCGAAGATTGAAAGTCATCTAAAAAAATATTCACTAACGAGTTAAAACAGCATGGCTTAACAGGGTCGTACACGGGAGCAATAATGCGTGAAATGACCATGGAACCATTTTACATTATTAATAAGATACCAAAGATTAACAGGGCTCATTGAAACTTACCTTGGATGAGCTGCATCTTGAAATTCAGGTCGTTGAAAGTCTCCCTCGAAACCCTCGAACTCTCTTTCCACCGCGGAGAGAAGACAGAAATTTGGCGCGAAGCATCATGGGATATATGAAATTCCCCCCTTTGACAAAGCCTAAGGTTTTGACCCTTCATGGCCAACTGATTTTGGAGTGTGAAGTTCGTATCCCCCTCCAAATCAATTAAGCGCATCCAATGGCATCCCTTCCCTTATCGAGCTGTCATTGCTCTTGTCATCGGTAAACTGCGGGGGATGTTTATTGCAAGCAAAAGAAAACACAGATACTAATTTTCTTCACGGCTGTTTTGCGTGAAAAACTTGATAGTGTAGGCAACGCACGACTTTTACTCATGCCAGAATGCTGCTTATTCCAATGAATTTTTTTTCTCAGACAGGTAGATTATGCTCTGGAGGAAAACGTTTTGACTGAGCAAATGTGATTTTTGCCGCTTATTTCATACTGAGAGGTTGTGACACGCATATTAATTTTCTGCGGTTATTTGCCCTCTGATGCAAGAGCATTTTCTTTGACCTCTTTTGAAAAGTAAAGCTCTTCAATGCAGCTAAATAATTTCTCCTGCGATTGACTCCTGGATCTGAATAATTTTAAGCGAGTTTCTTTTTGGCCGTGAATGTGACGGTTTCCTGCAATGGTTTGTTAGCAGGACGGATAGTGATATCCAAATCTCGAAGAATGGATTGCAGCTTAAACTAAAACTACATTAATTACGGAGAATTGCGATGTGACTCAGTCATGACTGCTCATGAATTTTAACTGCCGCTTGTTTTTCTGGATATAATGTGAGTTTTTGGACTGGAGCACGTAGTTCCTCCCTAAGTGATAACTATTGATTTAGCTTAACAGCCTTGCGACTGTTCTGTTATCCCCAATTTGTGATCACGCAAGACCATGGTTTCGGTTCTCCACGCGAACTTCATCAGTTGCCGGGTTGGCTTTCTGCTTAGTTGCTTTAACAAGAGCAACTCTTATTATTTGTTCTGTGCTGTTATTTGTTCTGTAAATTGTGATTATGTCCAGTGTTGATAGCGGCTGGCGCGTTTTTGACAGATGCTGACAGATTTCCATAGAAGGGCCAATCAGAGTTTTGCGTTGTGAGAGCAACGCATTAGTTCAAAACCTTGGGCTTTGTCTGTAGTCCCTCATTTTTCTCTCTCCCCGCCGCGTGTCGCCTTTTCTCGCGTGGGGTGATTTTCACGCGCGCTCGCGTTTCGCCCGCTCTACTATCCCTTGACGAAAAATGGGGGACTACTCGTAGTCTATGCGGTCGGAAACCAACAGAAACAAAAAGCGTGAATTTATTCTTTGAGAAACTCATGAACATTAAAGTGATACTTTTTCTAATACATGAACTGTTTAAATAGCAAAATTTCCTGAAATAAGTCATTTTTTTTAACCTACCTGACAGCTCTCTTGGCCGTCATGTAAATGCCGCGTCACGCAATAGCTTAGAAATTCCAGCGCACTCTATCACAAAACCAAGAACCTTTTTAAAGCGAAAATTTGTATGAAAAATTATTCAGTTTTGATCTGCTCTAATGCATCGTGAAAGTAAAATCTCAGTAGGATCGGTAGTTTTGTGGTTTGAATTTTGGTGACGTCATGTGAAAACCAATAATACTTTTGCACCTGGCGCTTTACAGTCTATATTTGTAGAATGCTGTTCTAAGGAAATTGAAACAGCGCCAAATTTAAAGACTCCCCTTATTAGGACTGGGGCCTAGATACTTCTTCAATCATTATCCGGGACACTAAATTCCACCCAGTATAAGCATCACCTAAGGTTCGGCCAGTGCACGGTCCTACCCATAATTCCACTCTAACAGTGCCTTGTGGGATGTTTTCACAGTACCCCTTAAATGACCGATGATGCAGCAGTTCAGGGTTTCCAGATGGCCACCAGTTGTAAACAGCAGCCTCAATCGTTATTGGTCCACTGCATTCATTTCCATTAAACTTGAAATACCACCGGTTACACTTAATACTACCTTGGGCCCTCATGTTGCCCTGGAATGAGACTCTGAGCGCAGAATTAGACTGCAGTTTGTCAAACGCACAGTCCTGGAATAAAATCAAACAAATCAAACATATTGTAGTAAGGCGAGCAACCTTCTGTATTGATTGATTCTAACGATTCCAGTCAAGATTACTTCCTAATGTTTAAAAACTCTGTAATAGCTTCAATTTTTGTTGTCCTGATCCATATGGCTAGGAATCATTTTATCACGCACGATGGTTTTCCTTTTTTCGTTCAAAAAGAACCAAAGTAGAGGGAAATGTAACTTGGTCATTTGTGTAATGTGTTGGCAAACGGTAAGTAAGAGGGGAGAGGTTCTTCTTCGAAATATTTTGATTTAGAAAGGAATGAATTTGCTTGGGAAGGTGTTATTAATGATTCTTATTTTGATTACCTTAATCTTTCCGTTATTAGTACTGCTCAGTGATTTTCACACACATTGTTTCCAGTTGGTTTGTGGTACTACACTTGCTTGACTTGCTTTGGCGCTTTCTCCTTTCTCTCCTTTGTCTCCTTTTCTTCCTTGATTTCCCATAATGCCTGGTTCTCCATTCATTCCCACAAGTCCCTGTTGACCTTTCATTCCCTGAATTCCTTGTGGCCCACTCTTCCCAGGAGGCCCTTCGCGCCCTCTGTCTCCTCTTGGACCCGGCATTCCATGTGATCCTTTATCACCAATTTGTCCTTTTACACCTTCTCTTCCCTGGGGTCCGTGCATGTGGCCCGGGGACGCCCGGCACTCCCAGCACTCCCGGCACTCCCGGCATACCATATGATCCTGAAATACCAGGGAAACCCAGCATAGATCGCTGAAGTAAAAAAAAAAAAAAAAAAAAAGATGGCTTGTAATTAGCAGAGATGAAGACGGCACGGGCTCTTAGATAACTGGAGGTGGGGGTGGGGGTGGGGGGTACTCCTGGGAATTCTTGGTGGGGGTGTACCACTCGGTTCTTTAAATCCTGACTCTATTTCACACCAAAACCCGTCATTTTTTTTACACACGTATTCAGAATTAGCTAGACTTGGCTTCTAAAATCTATACCAGTTTTCAGACCTTGTCTCGACGAAATGATGCATGTCATATTACTTAGATTAATTTAGAACAGCAACAAAAAAATAATTCGCATTATTATTTCTATTTCCTTCTCATTTGAATTGAAACGATAAATACGTTCATACACGCCCGTAGCTCCCTCGCAATCAAAGTTTTCAGACCAAAATCGACAAAGTCGATACCTGCCACCCGTCCCCCTTCTTTTCGAGGCACGGAATGGACCTTGGATATCTTAATCTTCTTAAAAGTGTTATCTCGCCTCGAATGGACGGGGATGGAATCAGAGAAAATTAACAGTTAACAATGGACAGGCTTCAGGTTTTCGAGGAAAGATCATGCTGAAGCGAGGACTTTAAAATAAACTGCCATACACTTTTAACGGTACTATTTAGTTAATGATCATAACGACGTGAGAGTAATAAAACGCTTTCTGGGTGTACCTAATCTACGGCCCAGTTCTCTTTTTTACATCTTTATGCATTTCTTACCTGGCATAAGTCTGGTTGTTACCAGTGAGCCGCTAAAAAAAGAGAGAACCAGGAAAACATCGAAATACTGAACCATGGCGGTGAGAATTGAACGAAAACACAGTGTTTTCTAAAATCAGTGGTACGTGCTCATCATTTTATAGGAAATAATTTAAGTAAATCCTCTGTTCCGGTATATTGTTTTTTTATTTTTGCTTGTTTTTTTTTCCTTTCATGGCAATTTTTTTTTTTTTTTTGCATTTTCTTATTCTCTGTTTATAAGCCCGGTTCACGGTTACAGTACTGAAACAAGGTGTCAAAAGGGGGGGGGTTATGGGGAGGGGGGAGACTCCTTATAATTGCCTATACGAGGAAGCTCTGCCAAAAAGGGTATGTCTTTAAGGATACACCATTCCAAGTTTTTTTTCAACTTTCAACATGGACAAGCTAAAGAAACAACTGGAAATGAACGCGTTAAAATTAGTAAAATTGCCCTGTCAGAGATCGAGCCAGTATTTCAATTCCAGTCCTCTTAAATCTGGCTCATTCTTAACAGATCTTTATCGGTATTACCTAATATTACCATAAACTGTCGCTTATAAGCGCTGGGATTGTACATCAATTCTTAAGGGGTTTTAGGACGGCGTATAAACGGAGGGGCTTTTATATCTTAGGGGGCGTATAGAAGGCACAGACAAAGTGCTTTGAAATAAGCTGTAGCAGTGCTGATCAGAATACGTTTTTGCATTTACTGCTTGTTAATTAAGGCTTCAAAACGTCGAATACAATGAAGTTCAAGCAAGATGGGAGCGTGTTGCAGCCAACAGGAGGGCATTTTGCATGCGCATGCGTGCATCCGCTGAACGACAATAGCGTGGGCGCATCAAATCTGATGGCGGGAAATCGAAAACTCGCGTAAAGGTACGGTCCTTTTAAAAGCCATTTCGTTGGTGCTTTGAACACTGTACTTTCCTACAAAAAATATTCTCCATGACAAAAATCGGACGTTTTCTACGCGGGTTTTTCACTTGTAGATTTTTCAGCAGTAGGTTTTCTTGGCCCTTTAAAGTCTTTCAAGACTCAACGCCAAAAAGTCATGTTCCTGTGTAAGTCGAATTTTCACTGGCAAAGCAATGCATTTCTATGGTTTGATTTCCAAACTCGTGGTTTTACTTATCAAGGGGAAAATGCATCGTAGCAATGCTCAGCTGTTTTACATGTAAGACTAAAAGCGAAAAAAAAATTACCACGCGAGGTTTATTTATTAGCGCGAGGTCTCATGTTAAACTGATCACGGAGACACGCGTTTATATATGCCACAAAAACATGAAATCAATGAGATTTTTTACAGTTTTTCGAAAGTTTTTGCGGAAAATTTTATAAAAAGTATTCTACAAGAAATGAACTTAGAATGGATTTAGTTTGAGACAGCAACAATTACGAGTGATTATGTACTACATAAGCACTTGAGCATTTCATAAGCTCAGTTGCAGACAAAACGAATGCACATACCCCACAAAAACGAACAATACTTTTATTTTTCTTTAACTCTAAAGGATACAGAGATTGTTCCCAAGCTACAGTATTTTGAAGCGACTCTTGAGTAACAGCTCCTGTGTTCCACAATCGATTTCTTGTTATTTATCTATATTTGATGACAGTAGTGATCCATTCAAAACAGAGAATGGCCATCGCTCCATAAATCTAACTGACGATGTTGTTCACCTTCAAAGCCTGTTTAAACATAAGACAGGAAGTTTGTTAAAGGGGTGCATATAATGCTCTTTCCTCAAAAAATAAATGCTACTTCTACAGGACCCAAATGAGCTGGTATGCGACAACAAACATTGCACAAATGGATGGAGTGAATTTGTCTGTTAGTAATGATTCTGTTGGGAGCTTTTTACTGTATCCAGATGAACCCCTTATGTAAGTTGTACATCATGGAAGAATTATATAGCAGAAACTGATGCATTAAACAAGAATGTGGTTCAAGACAGAGGAGAAGCTGTTCTCATTCAACATCATTTGTGAATTAAATGTCTCACAAATTAGCATATCAACAAACCTGGTATCATTTACGAATAAATGCAATTTTTTTGCAACAGAGGCCAGGATTTATTTAAAAGGTGTATTGATAACGTTTCATTTCGTGCTATTTTGGGGTTGGGGAGTTAGGCTAAATTTTCTTTAAAACGCCAAAGTGTTATATTTATTTGCATAATGAAATGTAAACAAACAGTGTACCATCAAAATAAGGTGGAAAAATCAAAATTCAAACCGATTGCTGTAATTTTTTTCCTTTGTATAACTAAATGATAGAATATTCTTATTTTCAAAACACAATCTTACTGGCATCATTATATTGATTTAAATTTATAGTTGAAGTGCGTGTATTTTATTTCTCAACGAAGACGTACCGGTGAAGAAAGCTAAAATTACTGCAGAAGGCGATTTTTCACAGCCTTCATCAAAGCGCCATTCATTCGCGGAAGTATTCTTAGTTTCATTAATCATTAACTTAATTTGGGGAGAAAGGCAAGATTTCGAGATAAACAAGCCAGCGAAAGGGTGAAAAACAGTTTCACGGCAGAATGGACACTTAATTAACCACTGTATTCCTGAAACGATTAAGTTCGATTTTAGAGTTACACTATTAAGTGTCTGTAGGATAATTGTTTAACGAAAAATTAGCATACTGACCTTTTCCTCCTGCTCAAAAAATGTGCACGAAATGTTAGGTCGTAAGAACATTCAGCCGCCATCTTGTCTTCGAGGCACTGTTTTACGAAAGGAAAGACGGTCCTCTCAAGGGCGACAGCGAGGCTACAATAAACTCACTTTCATCCTAGAAATACCACGATACCATAAAGAACATGTCTGTGCAACGTAGCACCCAATACACGTCATTCAGCTCCAGAAAACAGCCTGCAAATGCTGGCACTGAACGTAAACAATTCACATAAAATGCCTCTGTGGCACCTCAACAGCTCATATTGACGCATGCGCATACAAAATGCCCTCCTGTTGTTACAGCCATGATAAGGGCCCATAACTGAAGAGGAGGGCTTATAAGTAAAGACGCCTATTCGCCACTTTGAAGTTGCGCGGGAGACCGGCTCCAGATGGTTGTCAGGTGCATTATGGGACTGTTAAATTGAAGACGCATTTTCAACATGGCGGCAAATTCGTCCCCAAAAACAGTCCCACAGTGCACTTTGACAACTATCTCGACCCGGTCTTCCTCACAACCTCGAAGTGGCGAATAAGCGGCAGTTTACGGTGTTTCACGGCATTGGTTCAGATTTTCAGATCCAGAGGAAAAAGAGCAAACTGTCCTTTACTGAAGCCCTTAAGGCATGTAACAAGTGCATTCGTGTACACTCACTTTACACTGCATAGAATTGTTACAGAGCTGAGTGATATTTCAATAGAAGGATTTATCTCTAAATTCCTACATGTATAGTAAACAATATTTTTTAACGGTTTCCGATAACTTGTCTTTGCAGAGTCTTCATTCCTTTAATTTCATCTCGCGCTGAATTGATGGCCCCCGTTTTACCTCCTGGTCTTCCTGTATTCTTGGCCAATATAGCTAAAAAGAACATTACTCCATAACATTTAAAAGAGTGTATTATAATTAGCTTGCATTTATAGCAGTAAAAACGAGATGTAAAGTTCTAAACTAGGTATGTTGAAAGGGGCACGATTTGTCTGTCAATGGACGTTTTCACACTGGAGACGAATTATCCGTCTGAGACGGATAATACATCTTCAACACCGGTCAAAATTGACGCAAAAAACAGATAGATAAAGTCAGGCGGATTGTCCATCCAAAACTAAGACCGTTCCATTTAAAAATTAAGACGTACATTATCTATCTGACGTAAATCATCCAACGGATAACCCGTCTCAGGCGGATAATCTCTCTCTAGTTTGAATACGGCCAATAGAAGGTATACGAAAGGGTATCGTTTCTGTCAAAAATGGTATGTGCAGTATTAAGGGGTTAGACCTCGGGGCGAAGCCTGCCCAAATAGAACTGTGTTAAGTAACCACCCCGGCTATTATGATCTAAAATAAGTCAAAATGAGAGCGCAACGTCTAAGTACTCGTTTTTGCTGTAGCAGACGTTACGTAGATGTAGAATTGACCTAACGTTTTCAAACTGTACTTGCTTCAAATCAGTTGCGAGACAGCTTAATTCTCGCTTGATAACCGTGAAGATTGTGAGTCAAGTAGCACGTTACATGATAGATCTTAAGCAGCAACGGCGGAAGAAGTTTCCCTTGTTAAAAACTGAATTAGCTCTTGTAACGGGAGGGCGCTTTAAGCAGGCTGGAGATAACCAAGTTATCCTATAATCATATTCATCTTCCTAGCTAATTGATATAAATTTTACAAGGTGCTATTTTAACCCTCGAATTCTAATCTGATTTTAATATTGGTTTTGTCTCGAAGAGTTTAGCTACAAAAGAAATCGCGTTTTAATGAAAGATTTGATTAAAGCACGATTTTATTAAATTGCTTTCACTTCACGATTTAATAAAAGACGTTCTAAAATATTTTGAGGGCAAAGGTTACCTCTTCAGCTATTTTTTCTCCACTGAGTTGAAATACTATGTCACTACCTTTTCTTTGACCACATATTTATGGATAATGAACGACACAGTGATGATATACTTGGTAACCAAAGAGAGGATGGGTTCAGTGATATATTTTGCCTCCATAAAATATCACATAAAAAAAGCATTGCCAATCAATCGCTCTCTATCACAGCCATTTTTGTCTCGTCATGCAACGGAAAGGAGCGTTGCGTGACACGACAAAACAGCTGCATGGGGGAACAACTCCCTGCGAGCTCAACCGATTATTGTGACGTCACGAAAGGTCCCTCCCCCCCCACCCCCCCTCCCCCCTTACAAAGGAGCTAGAGAAGCACTGCGTGACAAAACAAAGAACTGCTGCATAAAAGTGCATGAATAGGACTAACATGCCGACATAATAATACAAAATTTTAATACTGTTTTAAGAGTTTACTAGTGACAATCTAACGACGAAAGTAGCCACAAAGGGCTAAAAAGAAAATAACCAAAAACAATATTTCCGCACCATGCGCTTCATAGTCTATATTTGTCAAGAGCCATAATGGGCTCTTGATTTGTAGAATGCTATTTTAAGGAAGTTAAAACAGCGCCAAAATTAAGGACTTTCCTTATTAGGATTGGGGCCTAAATACTTCTTCAATCATTATCCGGGACACTGATTCTCACCCGGTGTAAGCAACACCCAAGCCTCCGCTACCACACTGTCCTACCCATAATTCCACTCTAACAGCGCCTTCTGGGATGTTTTCACAGTACCCCTCAAATGACCGATGCTGGAGCAGAACAGGGTCCCCAGATTGCCAGTAGTTGTAAACAGCAGCCTCAATCGTCATTGGTCCACTGCGTTCATGTCCATTGAACTTAAAATACCACCGGTTACACTTAGAACTAATACCCCGGACCCCCATGTTTCCCTGGAATGAGACTCTGAGCGCTGGATTAGACTGCATTTTGGTAAACGCACAGTCCTGGAATAATATGAAACAAATCAAACATATTGTAGTAAGACGAGCAATCGTGTGTAATTATTGATACTAACAACTCCAGTCAAGATTACTTTCTAATAGCTGTGGTCACACTACAGACTTTTTACCTAGGTAAACACGACTTGTTGACAGTTTACCTAGGGAAACTTGATTTTTTAAGTGTTACCGATTTTTCCCTAGGTAACTTACCTCGGGGAAATTTTATCGTCTGGGTCTTGGATATGTCTCGAAAACAATAGAGTTTCCCTTGACAGCTACCCCAAAGCAATAGCTAGGGAAAAATGAAATACCGAGGTTGCTAGGCTATAGACGCTCTCGGCGAAGGTCTTGATGACAGAACCGGACATAGATCAAGCTGTGAAAGAAATTTTGGGAGCACAAGTCGTCTACGTCTTCGCCTTTCTTCACCTTGCACGTTGAATTACCGTAAGAAATAACACCGAGATAAAAGAAAAAAACGTCCCTTTGATCAGCTAGATCCCTGCGCATTTTGCCTTCTTGAATTCACGCTCCAAAAAATTTAACAGGCGTGAAAATATTGGGAGCCGATATCAGTAGTGTGACCTTCCCAGAATTTTTACCTAGGTAAAACAAAACCCGAGATGAATTTACCTAGGTAGATTTTTGATGAATTTGCCCTAGGTAAAAGGGTTTACCTAGGTAAAAGTCTGTAGTGTGACCACAGCTAATGTTTAAAACTCTGTAACAGCTTATATTTTTGTTGTCCTTATCCAAATGACCAGGAATCATTTTATCACGCACGATGGTTTTTCTTTTTTCGTTCAAAAAGAACCAAAGTAGAGGAAAATGTAACTTAGTTATTTATGTAATGTGTTGGCAAGCGGTAAGTAAGAGGGGAGATGTTCTTCTTTGAATTATTTTGATTTAGAAGGGAATGAATTTTCTTAGGAGTGTGTTATGATTCTTATCCTATTTACCTTAATCTTTCCATTATCAGTAACGCTGTTTGATTTCCACACACATTGTTTCCAGTTGGTTTGTGGTACTACACTTGCTTGACTTGCTTTGGCACTTTCTTCTTTCTCTGCTTTGTCTCCTTTTTTTCCTTGATTTCCCACAATGCCTTGCTCTTCTTTCATTCCCTGAATTCCTCGGGGTCCACTCTTCCCAGCGGCTCCCTACAATAACCTATACGGGGAGGTTCTTCCCAACAGGGTACATCTTTTCTTTTTGTCAACTTTTGGTATAGAGAAGTTAAGCAGTTGGCACCATTGAAAAAAAAGGCTTTAAAATTAGTAAAATTCCCAAGTTTTGAAAGTGATTTATTGAAAAGTGACGAAGATATAAGTTCTCAAAGTCGCGCGAAATTTTATAGGTCTAGACCGTTTGTATGGTTGGTGCCGGATACAAAGTCCATCGAGATCGAGTTTACTTACATCCAGTCCTGTTAAATGTGGCTTATTCTTAACAGAGCGTCTTCAGTATTAAACTATTACCATAAACTGTTTCTTCTACAAAGGCGTACAAACGGGGGCGCTTTAATACCCGTGGGGGCTTATTGATGACATAGAAAAACGCGCTTTGAAATAAGCTGTAGCATTGTTGATCAAGATAGATGTTCTTCTATTTAGTGGTCGTTAATTAGGGCTTCAAAACGTCATTATAAATCGAATTCAATTCAGTTCAAGCAAGAGGGGAGCTTATTATACCCGGTGAGCCCATATTCGGATGTATTTTTTTCGTTTTCAGCCCTCATATGGGCCCATGACTGGAGAGGAGGACTTATGAGGCGTTTACGTTGTTTGCCGGCATTGGTTCAGGCCAATGGACGGGATACGAAAGGGTACCCCGGCTTTTCTGTCGAAAATGATATGTTAAGGGTAAATGGGTTAGTCCTCCGGGCGGCCTCCGCATCTTCGTACTTATTTTTGATGTAGCATACGTTACATAATGGAGAACGTGACCCTACTTTTTGAAACGTATACTTGCTGCAAAACAGTAGCGAGTTATTTATGTTAGAGGCAGCCAGTCCCCACTGAGCGATAACAAAATTGTGAGTCAAGCAGCACGTAACATAATGGAGCTTAAGCAACAATGGCGGAGGAAGGAGGAACTTGCTCGTGTAACTGGAGAGATTTAAACCGGTTTTCACACCATGATTTTTGGAAAGAAAAACGAAAAGGTAAAAACTGGCCAAAAACCGGATAGATTAAAATAAACCGGTTGCATCACCATAAATTTTATTTGGAAATCGGGCCTAGAATCGCTACCGGTAAACCAGCCTTAAAACAGCAAAATAAAAAATGAAAATGGATTACAACTTTTTTATACCTTTTTAATACTATTTTCTACTGAACTAAATCATGCAATGCGAACACCCAAAGACGACTGACTTTTGGTTTCTCTTTTTATGAAACTAATAAACCCATTCCGTATTGTCTGACATGCTTTCCATTCGCTAATCTCGCAACCACAAATGCATGTACACTGATGAATTATTTTAAAGTACGAACGTAACTTGCCTAATGATTTAATAGCAACATAGTGAAGCCCCGCCATACGACCACCTGTTTATACGACCACCTCATTATTACGACCATATTCTCTCGATTCAAACGTAGAAATCACTGACTTATATTTTTATTGTTTTGAAAATCACCCGTTAATGCGACCACCCCATTATTACGACCAGGATTTTATAGCCTAACGGTGGTCGCATTGACGCGGTTCCAATGTAGTTAATTGCTTTATGACTCCCGTTTGAGGATCGACACTAACCTTCACTTAGCTGAAACAAGGCTAATCGAGTAACAATGTGCTTAACATCAACTGCGTTCTGCACTTAAATATAAATATTTTTAACTTTTACTGTAAAGCCATCGTTAGCCTCTTTAAATAACGTATTCACATGTATATCATAGTCATTGAAATAAAGAACACTAATAGTTACGAATAAATGAGAACTTGTTTAAATAATTAATACTGTTTAGACTTGTTTCCTTCCGTAAGGCTCTTTTGAAAAACCAAGACACCAAGATGCCGAAAACATGACAAAGGACATTATAAATACCTCCTTCTAATTCATTTATAGACATAATAGTCTGTTCATGATCACTTTTAAAAGTTACTTCATTATATAACTAACAGAAAAAACATTTAATTATTTAGTCCTCTACACTATTAGCTTTCCACTGTATCCGCTTTATCCGCAAGGTCTTCGTCAAACTGCGACCTTTTCAATCCAAGAAATCTTAGAGCGTTTCCGCCTAGCAATTTATCCTACAACAACAGATGGATTTTGAATTAAAGGGTTTTTATCTGAAGTTAGACTATTCACAGTCCCTTATTTTTTCGTAAGATTGACAGGATAGAGCGGTAGCTTACCGGAACGGTCGGTTATCTCGGTTTCACATGAACCGAGGGAGCGGGTGTCGGGCTTTACCTATCCAAGATGGCCGCCCGTAATGCAGACTCCTCGATCCGGACGATCTTACAGCAAAATAGGGGACTGTGAATCGAATGATGAACGGGAGATTTGATGATGGGCAAATGCACCCCCCAATAACCTATTTTCCAAAATAACAGGGAATTGATTGAGAACCATTTTGTTCGATCTCCACTAATAATTGTTGGATAACTGTTGAATTGCCAAGTACATGTAGAATCTACTAAAGCAGGGTAGGACTGAACCTCTTCAAGATAGAATTGGCAGGGGGGGGAGGGGTGGGGATTATGCGGGATTCAAAGGGATGAGAATGAGTGAATTGGGGCAAAAGTCGAAACCTGTGGAGAGGGGTGAGGCCTATTTCTCTTTCTCTTTCGTACAGTGGAACCTCGATATAACGAAACTCGATATAACGAAGTCCTCGGTATAACGAACGATATTTTCTGCCCCAGTTACAGTATAATGTATGGAAAAGAACCTCGATGTAACCAAACCTCTTTTTAGCGAACGTAATCGAGGTTCCACTGTAATCAAGAGATACCAATGTTTATAGAGAGGATAAGTGTGACGTCACGTTACCATGGTGGCAAAATTTCTGGATCACAACAATAGGGAGTTTAAGCAACGGCGACCGCGGCGTCCTATCAGTGGCAAAAAGGAACCGAGAAACTGAATGTGATTGTTCTCTTACCCTAAGTTCCACGTCGTCTATGTACACATCCTCCATAAGTTTACCTGGATGATGTTCTCCGAGAGGGAACGGGTAGTCACTGCCTAAAATAACATTCTCCTGGAAAAAAAAAATATATATATATATATATAATAATAATAATAATAATAATAATAATAATACACAAGCAGGATAATGAGCATACGCTTGGTGCGGTGAGAAAATTGAGAACTTGAAGATTTATTTTTTTTTTCAGTGTTATGTCTGCATAGTGGATGGACAAGCGCGCTTCGCACACAAACGAAGATTGTTGAAAACGCAACTTTAATGGGGACTCAGACTTGCACACGTCAGCTCGTTCTTGATCAACACAACAAGTCACAATCTCATCATGGCTTTCTAAAACTTCACCTTACAATTGTTAGTAAAAACCTACGCAAAAGAAACACTGAATCACTGTCGGGGTGAAAATTGAAATGTGCTACAGTAGCTCGGAAAAACTTCATTCAATGAGAAACTAGCACCAAAGCGTTACAGGTAATTAAGCACATCGTTTGTTTCACGACGTTTTCACAACGAAAGATTTGATAATTTGAAACAAAATTGTTACTGCTGCTTAGCCAGTTTCTGCACGTTTAAAAGACTCTTGGTAAATGGATTGGATACATCAGTTTTAGTGCCATTAAATAACGGTAAAAACGAAACGCTAATTGTAGCAGTTATACATGTAAAAGCAAAGAAGCCAGAACTGTTTTAAACAGTAAGTTACGTCTTTGTTACGCTGAGAATTAACCTATAAGCCCAAATATCTACAGACAAATTCTCCACACTCTTTTTGGTGATCATTTTATCAACTCTCATAACAATTTCCCTTGATTGTGCTGATATTGTTACGAGTTCATGTTGGTCACTCTTATGACTAATAAAGAGCCGATGTCAGTAAATATCGACCAGAGGTCTACAAAAGTGAAAAATCGAAAATTTTCAAAAAAATTCACAAAGTAGCACTAGGTAAGCTATTAACATAAATGTAAATTTTACTTCGATCCGATAATTATTTTCCACGTACAGGTTGGTTATTGGATTCGCGGCTCTCGGACCGGGTTTTCCAGGCCCGAGACCATGTGTCACAAATTAAAAAAATCGTTTTAAAATTCAAATCCACCGTAATGCGGACAACAAATAACTTATTCAAAAGAGTACATAATTACACACATTTTAAGTGGTGATTTACTCAGTTTGAACGAAAGCGTAATATTTTGGCGATTCCTCATTATTTCCAATATTTTGAACGTTTTCGTTCAATGAAAAAATGGCAAATTTCAAAGCCCCAAATCGTCGACTGGTACCTCGATTTCAGTAACGAGTCTTATACCACGTTAAAGAGCGTTATCTCTTCTTTCAAAATCTGTTTTCAAAACTATGGGCAACTGAAAAGACCATTTTTGAGGTCAAAAAATACAAGTAGCACTTTTCTGAAATTTGAGCTTTCCAGACTCGGCGGGCCGATGCTAAAAACTCGGAAAAATACAATAAGAAATCAGTTTGAGCAACAGTGGTTTCATGTTACTTGGGCAAATTTTTGCTGGGTGTGTGGCCCTGGCCTCTCAGAGCCCCTACCCCATTATAGTCTATTTTGTGACCAATTATAGACCCCATCTTAGTCATTTTTGGGCAATTATGTAATTTTTGCGATCTAGACTTGGTCACTTTTTATTTTTTCTTTTTCTTTTTCTTTTTATTTATTATTATTATTATTTTTTTTTAACCGAATGAGGAACACTTTAATTTTCACCTGAAGTACAAACATCCCGGTACGTTTGTTAACCCTTTAATATGAAGACGTCTTACCCAAAAAGGCCGAAAATGTTCAAACCGATTCTAGTAAATATATTGAAAATGCGACCTCATTGTAGTCAATCCAGTTGTGAAAATGCGACCCCATCCAGCATCACATCCTAATTAGCCCCTTATAAGGAAGTACCGCCCCCCCCCCCCCAGTCCTGTTTGTAAGCTACAAAGTATTGTGAGATTATACATAATACATCTAACAAAATTAATGAAACACTGCTACAATACAGTTAATTCGCACAGACACTGTTGGATGCGACAAAAGGGGCCGTCTTAGGCCAGTTCAGACGCCGAACTTTTCATGAGCCGAACCTAATTCGAATTAAGGCCGACCCAATTGTTTAGACCAGCTGAATTGATTCAAACGCGCCGATCTTAATTTAGGCTGAACTAAATTCAAAAGGTTAAAATGCTCATTTCGGTTAAACCGCTTACAAAGTACGTAAAATAATTATACATGCATCATGATTATGTTCGACACATAAAAAGTTCGGCGTCTTATTCGAAGCCGTTCCAAAGTCGCTCCAAAGGCGAAATTCCCAGCCAGGCTTGGCGAAAAGAACGGCTGAGCTGTGTCAAATTGAACCAGGCGTTCCTAATTGATTCATGACGCCGAACTTTTCATGTACTTTATTCAGTGTATCAGCTCATGAAAAGTTTGGCGTCATGAGTCGTTTCCATAACGTCCTGTTCGCCAACGTCTTAGGTATCCGCCGACCCCCCCAAAAAATCAGAGGAGTTCCTATGGATCGTTGCAGGGTCGACACTTGTTTTAGGTTTGTACTTTTTATTATAGGTCCCTTTTTTTTGGTTATTGTAACCTTTTATTAGTTCATCTTCGGCTGAAACATCGAGAAAACTTAGTTTTTTTCGATTAGGATAATAGAAAAGATAACTCTCCAAGGGCGATCAGTTGCTATCAGGCTAAGTCAAAAGAGTCAGATCAGTATTATAAAGGAAACCATAAAAAAAACACAGATCGAACCGGGAATACACATACGTTATCCCCTATCGGGTATAACCATACGGTGTCCCCTACTGGGTATACCCATACGGCACTGATGATTTAGGTATCCAAAGATTTCTAAGTTAAGAAACTCTGGGAACTTCAAGTTACTTCTTTCTTTATAAATGCACTCGACAGGCAAGGCTGCAAATAGCTGCATTGGATAGATCGATATTGTGAGACTGTACGAAAATTTCTCTGTTAAGGAGCAAACATAATGAGTTCAATCTTATTTGTTGAGAAAAATAATGGACAAGATTTGTACATGCTGTAAGACATTGTCTTTTATTGAAACAATGAATTGAAAGCTTTAATTAATTAATGCCTGACACATTGATAGAAACTACACTGACATGCAAGAAATAAAAAAAAAGATGCTATTAAGGTAATGCGAAGGTTTGACAAGAATCTCAATGTTACGAATAAAAACATTCCATTTTCCCACTGTTTAAGAGATAATCTAGCCTGCGTGCCAGGCGTTCCAAAGGGAAGGAAAAGGAGATTTTGGGTGCGTGAGAAGCGGGAAGGGCGCGCGAGGAATGAGGAAGGAGAACGCGTTCCTCTCCTCGCTACTCCGTCCCTCGCGCGCGGTCTCGCTCTTACATTCCCTTCTCCCGCTGCCTTTCGAACATTTGCCACGTATGCCAGAGATTATCAAGTTATTCTATCATCGTATTCATCTTCTTAGCTAATTGATATAAATTTTACAAGGTGCGATTTTAATCCTCGAAATCTAATCCGCTTTTAAAAATGATCTTGCCTCGAAGCGGTTTGGCTACAAATGAATGGTGCCGTTTGATTTATTAAGCACGATTTAATTCAATCGTTTTCACTTTCGGATTGGATTAAAGATTTTCCAGACGAAAATATTTTAGATGCGACGGTTACCTCTTCCGCAGATTTTTTTTTTCGTTGAGATGAAAGATTATATCACGACCTCTACTTTGACTACATATTATAGACTTAGGAAACGACCGACAATCTGATGGTATACATGGTAACCCGAGAAAGAACGGGTTCCCCTGAAGCTGTAGTGATATATTTTGCATCCATAACATTTCATCTACAAAAAGTATCGCCAATCAATCTCTCTTAATCATAGCCATTTTGTCTCGTCAAGCAACGAGAAGTAGCGATACGTGACAAGACAGGCTGCATCGGAGACCAATCCCCTACGGGCTCAGCCGGTTATTGTGTGGTCAGGAAAGGTGCCTCCCCGCAAAAAAGCTAGAGAAGCAGTGCGTGACAAAACAATGAGCTGCTGCGCAGGAATAACATGACGGCATAACAATACAAAATCTTGATACTGTTATTAGAGTTTTCTATTGACAATCTGATATAAGACGGAAGTAGTTCACAAAAGAGCTAAAAAAAAAAATAACCAAACTTCCTTGCGCTTTACAGTCTATATTTGTAGAATGGTATTCTAAGGAAATTAAAACGGCGCCAAAGTTAAAGACTCCCCTTATTAGGACTGGGGCCTAGATACTTCTTCAATCATTATCCGAGATACTGAATTCCACCCAGTGTGAGCATCACCCAGGGTGTAGCCACTACACTTTCCTACCCATAATTCCACTCTAACAGCGCCTTGTGGGATGTTTTCACAGTATCCCTCAAATGACCGATGATGCAGCAGATTAGGGTTCCCAGATGGCCAGTAGTTGTAAACAACAGCCTCAATCGTCATTGGTCCACTGCATTCATTTCCATTGAACTTGAAATACCAGCGATTACACTTAGTACTAGTACCTGCGACCCTCATGTTTCCCTGGAATGAGACTCTGAGCGCTGAATTAGACTGCAGTTTGTTAAACGCACAGTCCTAGAATAAAAATCAAACAAATCAAACATATTGTAGTAAGGCGAGCAACCGTGTGTAATGATTGATACTAACAACTCCAGTCAAGATTACTTTCTAATTTTTAAAAACTCTGTAATAGCTTCAATTTTCGTTATCCTTATGGCCAGGAATCATTTTATCACCCAAGATGGCTTTCCTTTTTTCGTTCAAAAAGAACCGTGAAAGTAGAGAGAAATGTAACTTATTTATGTAATGTGATGGAAAATGGTGAGTGAGAAGGGAGACGTTCTTCTTTGAAATATTTTGATTTAAAGAGGAATTACTTTCCTTTAGAATTTGTTATGATTCTTATTCTAATTACCTTAATCTTTCCGTTATCAGTACTGATGCCTGATTTCCACACACATTGTTTCCAGTTGGTTTGTGGTACTACACTTGCTTGACTTGCTTTGAAGCTTTCTCCTTTCTCTCCTTTGTCTCCTTTTCTTCCTGAATTTCCCACAATGCCTCGCTGTCCTTTCATTCCCACAGCTCCTTGCTCTCCTTTCATTCCCGCAATGCCTCGCTCTCCTTTTATTCCCACTGCTCCGCGCTCTCCTTTCATTCCCAGAAGTCCCTGTTGACCTCTCATTCCCTGAATTCCTCGTGGTCCACTCTTCCCAGGGGGTCCTTCGCGCCCTCTGTCTCCTCTTGGACCCGGCATTCCTTGTGATCCTTTATCACCAATTTGTCCTTTTACACCTTCTCTTCCCTGGGGTCCATGTGGCCCCGGGACGCCCGGCACTCCCGGTATACCATTTGATCCTGGAATACCAGGGAAACCCAGCATAGATCGCTGAAAGTAAAGATGACTTGTAATTAGCAGAGACGATTGTAAATGACTCGGGGAGAAGGGGGGGGGGGATGTACTCCTCGGTGGGAATGTGCCGCCCGGTTCCCCAAATCCTGACTCTATTTCAGACCAAAACACGTTATTTTTTACACTCGTTTTCAGAGTCTAAAATCCACACCAGTTTTCAGACCTTGTCTCCAAGAAATTATGAATGTCACCATTACTTAGATTAAGAACAGCAACGAAAAAGAATTCGCATAATTATTTCTCTTTCCTTCTCAAATGAACAAAGTCTGTACACGCCAGCCGTCTCCCTTGTTTTCGAGGCACGGAATGGACATTGGACATCATAATCCTATTTAATAATAATAATAATAATAATAATAATAATAATAATAATAATAATAATAATAATAATAATAATAATAATAATAATAATAATAATTTATGAACTTATTGTGCACAGCCCGGGGGGGTACTGCCATATATGGGCTATATAGGTATGTGCCGCTGTGAAGGGTATGGTTTTCAAGCAGTTTACTCTAGGATAGGGTATATAAGTCAGAGCGATTGGCTCTAGAATAGGGTATCATTTTTTAGGAAACTGATCAGTTGGTTGAAGATTTTATCTAGACTAGGTACACAGCTACTCTAGGACAGGGGAATCTGGGGAGTTTACTCTATTATAGGGTAGCAAAATTCAGCTGAACTAGCTCTGGTGAAGGTTAGGGGTTCCAGGCTCCCAGCGGCACATCACCACCCAGAAATTCCAAAAGTGCCCCCCCCGGGTGCACAGCTTAACATGAGAATGATCAGAATACGCATTACAACTGCATTACTTTACAAGAATTTAATAAAAGATAACGCATTTAAAAATAAAAAATAAAATGAATATATATGCATGTAAGTAAGAACTGAATATAAAATTGCTCACCAATATAAAGTTCTAAAAAGATAAGTCTTAATATGCGCCTTAAAACTGTTCACATTAGTAATCGTACGAAGTTCTTTTGGAGGAGAGTTCCAGAGCCTTGGCGCTGCTACCATAGAAGCTCTATCACCTAACGTCTTCGATCGAACAGCTGGCATAGAAAGTAAAATACTACCTGAAGATCTAAGGTTATATAAGGACGATTTAAATGTTAGTAAATTGCGTAAATATTTAGGAGCAAGGCCGTGAATTGTTTGAACGTAATAAGTAGTATCGTTGATTCCCGAGACAAATACTTGCGAATGCGTTTAATATCATGCAAATGGTAAAAGGCAACACCACATAACTTGTTAATATGAGTTGACATAGTGAGCTGCTCATCAAACAATGAGCCTAGGTTTTTAGCTACTGTTAAAGTTAACGCGTTATCTCCCCTCGAATGGACTTGGATAGAATCAGAGAAAATTAACAGTTAACAATGGACAGGCATCAGGTTTTCGAGGAAAGATCATGCTGAAGCGAGGACTTTTAAATAAACTGCCATACACTTGTAACGGGTACTATTTAGTAAATGATAATAACGACGTGAGACTAGTAAAACGGCGCAATTCTTCTTTTTTAGATCTCTATGCATTTCTTACCTGACATAAGTCTTTTAACTTTGAATCGTTTCGTTGCTGAGGTGAGGTGGTTGTTCCCACAGAGCCGTCAAAAAAAGAGAGAATCAGGAAAACAGCGAAATACTGAACCATGGCGGTGTGAATAGAAGGAGAACACAGCGTTTTTTGAAATCAGTGCTACGTGCTCATTCATTTTATAGTAAATATTTTAAGTAAAACCTCTTTTCCTGTATATTGTTTGTTTGTTTTTCCTTTTATGGCAATTTTTTACATCTTCTGATTCTCTGTTTATAAGCCAGCTTCAGAGTACTGAAACAGGGTCAAAAGATGAGCATTCCAAAAATATATTACAGAACATAAATTGTTACAAAAGCAACAAAGTTTTATGCATGCTATCACGACTTTGCGTTTCTAACGGTACCCGATGCCTTTACTCTATAGTGCGCCAAAAATAATACTTTGCCTTCAGTCCAAGTTGGCTATGTTATGTTGTTATATCAGAAAAAGTAGCGGCTCCATTAAACTCCAGCTAAACAAGCCTCAACGTGTCTAATGTTAGTGGGCTATTTTTAAATTCCCGTATCTTATACCTTGAGAGGCGGGGAGGGGTGTTTTGGCGGGCTCACTATAATGACCTATATGGGGAGGCTCTGCTTAAAAGGGTTCCTCTTTCAGGATAGACCATTCCACTTTTTTTTTTTTTTCACCATTAGAAAAAAAATGCCTTGAAATTAGAAAATTTGCCAAGTTTGAAAGTGATTTGTTGAAAACCAACGAAGATATAGCTCGGCCTCAAAGTCGGGAAATTTTACAAACGTTTGTATGGTGGGGGGTCGGGGACAGTCTTGGTCCCCCCCCGACAACCACCCCATCACGTACAAACGTCAGTAGATTTTCGCAACTTTACGGAGCTATATCGTCGCACAATTAAGACGTAACACTTTCAAATTTGGTAATTTTACAGCCACTGAAATGAAAATTATATTAAAATTCATTAATTAAACGCTACATGAAAACGACAAGAAGACTTCCTGTTGTTGCTAGATACGTGTGAGAGGTATGACGTTATTAAGATGATTGCTCGCACAAAAAAAAAAAAAAAAAAAAAAAAAAAAAGAAGAAGAGTAAAATAAAACAAGAACAAACAAAAGCTTAGCAAAAAGTATTTTTTCGGCCATGAATCCACAGACGTCAAGTTATTTCCAGTCGTGTTAAATGTGGCTCATTCTTAACAGATCGCCTTTAGTATTAAATTATTACCATAAACTGTCGCTTATAAGCTGTGGGATTATACATCTTCCTAAGGGGTTTTTAGAAGGCGTATAAACGGACGGGCTTTTAATATCCGAGGGCGCTTACTGATGTCATAGTATAAGCGCTTCGAAATAAGCTGTAGCATTGCTGATCAAAATAGATGTTTGTGAATTTACTGGTCGTTAATTAAGGATTCAAAACGTCATTAGAAATCGAATTCCAATCAATTCAGTTCAAGCAAGAGGGGAGCTTGTTATACCCGGTGGGGATTATATTCGGATGTATTTTTTTCGTTAACAGCCAGTATATGGGTCCATAACTGAAGAGGAAGGCTTATAAGTGCAATCATATAAGACGATTATCTGCCCGACACGAACTTCCCAACGAATAGTCCGTCTCTAGTTTAAATACGTCCAATAGAAGGTATACAAAAGGTATCTTTTCTGTCAAAAATTGTAAGTACAGGGTTAAGGGGTTAGTCATCGGGGCGAAGTCTGACCCCCATATAAAACTGTGTTGAGTAGCCTCCCCGGCTATTACGATCTAGAGTCAGTCAAAAAGAGAGCGCATCGTCTTCGTTCTTACTTTTGCTGTAGCAGACGTTACATAATGTAGAACGTGAACCTACTTTTTCAAAAATACTGTTGCGAGACATTTATGTTAGAGGCAGCTTCATTCTCGCGCGATAACAAAATTGTGAGTCGAGTAGCACGTATAAGACGGATAATGGAGCTCATAACATAGTGAGGCTCGTAACATAATGGAGCTCCCCTTTACCTTTTTAACGGCGGGGAAGGTTTCAGGGGCACCCAACGATGGTTTCTCCTAAATACATTGAAACACTTTTTACGTCATCTAGAGTACTTTTAGATCTCTTAAAATGCATTCTAAGCGGCGCTATAAAATTAGTATCTGTTCGGTCATCCTAGGGGAACTTGAGTCTTCTCAAAATCACAAGGGCTTGAGTATTATTTTTTCCGAAAATCTTAGATGAAATTTGACGTATTACGAAAGTGAGACATTTTCTGATTCTTAACACTACCACATTTTTTAATCCGAAAATTTTAGATTCCCTTTTTTTTACGAAAAATAGCCGATCGGAACTTGGGAAGTAAAATGTGAGAACTAAACTTACGAAAATCGTGGGGAATTTATAAGTTAGATAAGCTTCGAAAATTGTACGTGAATGGAACGGTCATCTAGAAATTGTTTGCCGCCCTGAAGTAAAAGAAAATACTAAGCAATATGTGCAGTTCTCCGAACAGATATTTTACAGAAAACAGTCGTTGGGTGCCCGTGAAGTTTCCCTTGTTCAAGAAAACTTGCTCTTGTAACTGGAGAGCTTTAAGGCGGTTTTCACGCTATGATTTTTCGAAAGAAAAACGGAAAGATATAAACTGGTCAAAAATCGGATGCATTAAAATGATCTGTTGCATCGTCATATGTTTTCTATTGAAATCGGGCACACAATCGCTGCCTGTAAACCAGCCTTAAAATAGCAGAACAAAAAATGAGAATGGATAAAACTTTTTAATACATTTCATTCCTATTTTCTAGTCAACTAAGTCGTGCAATTCGAACGCCCAAAGACGAGGTCTCTTCTTATAATACTTGAACCTAGTCTGTCATTACGTTAAGGAGCCTGGCTAAAAAAACTCACATACCATAACAGCCGATGATAAGCTCCCCCCCCCCCCCCGCCACTTATACGGCCCCCAATTATAGACCAATCTTTCTATACATGCTATTATACGTCTCCCCGAATATAAGCCCCCCTCTAGCACCAATTATAAGCTTCCTGTGAAATCTGTTTATTATCAATGACGTTTTGAAGCTTAATATAAAACCAGTAAATGCAAATTGTATTTTGCGCAGCACCGCTATAGAGTGTTTTTAACTCATTTAAATTCTATTCCGATTTTAAGGCCCCTTGGATATAATACCCTCGGAAGTTACAGGGGCCAATCACAACACGCGAAAATTGCTAGTATAGCTAGCCACTGAAAATGGCTAAACATATCATCTACCCCTCTTAAGGGTCGGTGCATAGCGCCAAATAGTAAACGACGCTCATTGTGTCGCGGTTTATCTCCATGCACCATTATTTACCGCCTTTGATAGTTACACCTTCTTGTTATTGTAAAAGGCGGTTTGCATGCAATGGTCACCATGTAATACATGTGTTTCTACTGATAGAAGCCTTGGGTTTATTAGTCACCTGGCTGGATGCCTAGGCTTCCGGAGGGGTACTTCCTATAATAGCCTGTACGAAAAGGCTCCGCCCAAAGGGGTATCTTTTTCAGGCGTCAGGTATATCAAAAGGGTAGAGATTTTACTCACTGTAGTATACGAAAGGGTAGGGAAATCTGTCATTTGAGTCTGTGAAAGGGCTCAACAAGGGTAACAAATGAATTTTATGGCTTTATAATTTGAGAAAACGTTCTATTTTTGTGATTTATCCCCAGTTAAATGACAGTACATTTACAGGAGTCAAAAGGAATGCAAAGTTCTAAACAAATCATGTGAAAGTGGTACCATTTTTCAATAGGAATTATACACAAAAGGGGTTACTTTTTCGTGAAAAATGGTATATAAAAGGATAAGGGGTTGGGCCCAAGGACCCGTAAGAAAATTAGTGAGTACCCCCTCCCCCACGGGCTTAGGCTAAGCTCCCTTCTTTATTTTAGGTATATTATACTTGGCATGGTGGATATTTCATACCAAAAACTTATTTCAACGGCATGTTAAATGACTACTCTAACCCTTTATTAGTTCACCTCCTTGTTCTCCAAGGGCGATGTTGTGCTCTGGCTAAGATAAAAGTGTAAGTATTTCCTAGGAAACCATAAAAAAAAATAAATAAATAAAAAAAAACATAGAAAAAAGATAAAGTCGTGAAATTTATGGTACACCGACTAAAAAAACGTACAAAATAAAAGAAAACTGGGCTCTCTTTACGGAAGTTCTTACTGAGACTAACTTGCTTTATGGGTATCTCCTACCGGGTATACCCATACGGTATCCCCTACCGAGGTTCTCAATTGGGTTAACCGATAGCCGTAAAACGGCCAAAAATTTAGTCGATAGCCGTAAAAATGGAAAAATTTTAACCGTTAGCCGTAAATAGGGTAAAAAAGAGTTAACCGTAAAAGAAACTGTTCCCTAGATTTTCTACTTTTAGGGGAGGTACTAAACTCACTTATGGTTGCGTTTTTTATTTCCCGGCTGGTGTGACTCCATACGCACGTTAGGTGGAGCGCCTTTAGGTGTTGAGCAAGACCTAGGCTCCATTTCCGCCACTCTCTCGGGGAACTAATTTTTTCCATAACGAAAGTGTGGCTTCTTGCTGGGGATCAATATTTGCTATTTTCAGGAGGTCGTGCCCTCGAAACACCGGTGAAACAACACGCAGAGATGTCACTGTTTGTATTTCACGTTGCCGATAAACAACATTTCCCTGTTTTTCTCTGACGCTACGGTAGACATTGTCATGCCTAGTCCCTGTACGGCGTCTTCCCACGCAATCTGGGTCAAGGCATTTTGGTGGCGAACTCGCTAGGACCACGTGACCCGAAACGCATTAACTGCGCGGAATAATGAGGCCTACGGACAAGGCAACGGCAGACAGTCGTTCCGTACAGTCCTTCGCTATCACTAAAAACACTGGACACGGGAATTTTGTTATTGGCCGTTTTCACGCTGGAGCTAGAAATGGATTTTCCGTCTGAGACTAGACGGAGACTAATTAATGTGACGTGCTCCCCTCCCATTTTCTAAGTTAAGAAACCCTGATAACTGGGTACGTGTTTATTTATAAATGCAGTCGAACAGACAAGTCAGCAAATAGCTGCATTGGCTACTGAAATTAATATTGAGAG